GAACTGATCAAAACTCTTAGAACCTTCTGGGACACAGAATCAATTGGAATCACAAATCACGATATTGGGAATCCAGAGGAATCCAAGTTTTTACGTGAAGTTAGCTTTGACAAACAAGAGGGTCGATATCAAGTTAGGTTGCCTTGGAAAACTGAAGCATTGCCACAATCAAACGGATATTCAACGTGTGTTCGAAGACTTAGACAACTTCATTCCCATTTAAAGAAAGATAAACATTTGCTAAATGACTATGACAGTGTAATCAAGCAACAACTCGAAAATGGCATAATCGAAGCGGTTCCTGAGGAAGATGATGATAGTGATGGATCGTATTATTTACCTCATCATGGAGTACTTAGAAAAGACAAAGAGACAACCAAGTTGCGGGTTGTTTTCGATGGGTCGGCTAAACCTAACGAGGAAAGTCCTTCAATTAACGAGTGTCTGGAAAAGGGACCCAATCTTGTTCCGAATTTATTTGACACAGTTATCAAATTCCGAAGTCATCCGATAGGTATTGTTGCAGACATAGAAAAAGCGTTTCACCAAATCCAGATATCGCCTGAGGACAGACGAATGCTGCGGTTCCTTTGGTTCGACGATATCACTGAACCTGTTCCGAAAATCCGACGATTCCAGTTTTGTCGACTAGTGTTTGGGCTTACCCCTAGCCCAGCAGTTTTGGCAAGCATCATTCAACATCATTTAAGTAGACATAAAGAAAGGGAACCTGAAATGGTTTCCTTGCTCAATGATTCATTTTATGTCGATGACTTTGCTGGAGGAGCAAAAACTGATGATGATGCGGTAGAGGTTTATGAAAAGGCGCAAGCAATTATGAAAGACGGTGGTTTCACTCTCCGAAAGTGGATGTCAAATTCGAAGAAATTCCGAGAAATGGTCGAAAAAAATGAAGAGCATCAATCATACGTGAACGCGGACAAACCAACACTCAACCAAGGTAAACAAGATGTAACACAAACGAGTTCGAATGAGATTGTAAAGGTCCTTGGTTTACACTGGAACGTGCAAAGTGATGTATTCCAATTTGAAACCACCGAATTAGTGCGGTATGCCCTAACTCTACCACCCACGAAGAGATCGGTCCTTAAACTGTCAGCGAAAATCTTTGATCCGATTGGTATACTAGCGCCCTTCACGATCAATATGAAGTGTCTGTTTCAAACTTTGTGTGTTGAAAATGTCGACTGGGGCACTGAATTAAGCGGTAAATCATTAAGTACCTGGAATTCGTTGCTAAGAGATCTTTTGGCAATAAAATCAATCCGCATGCCCCGATGTTATTTTACCAAGTCAAGCCCAATCTCAACTCATCAGATCCATGGATTCTCTGATGCTTCAGAAAAGGCGTATAGTGCGGTTGTTTATCTGCGTACAGAATATCAAGACGGAACTGTCGAAGTAAACTTGATTTCGTCAAAGACGAGAGTAGCGCCTTTAAAAAGACAGTCGATTCCAAGGCTCGAACTGCTTGGGGCAAATATTTTAGCTCGATTGGTGAACACGATATTGAAAACACTTTCAGCAATCATCGATGATCCAGAGGTATTTTTATGGACGGACTCCTATACGACGCTTTGTTGGATAAGAAATTACAAGATGTGGAAACAGTATGTTCAACGTCGTGTGACAGAAATCCGAGAGCTTACAAACGAAAAGCATTGGCACTTTTGTCCAGGTGAACTCAACGTAGCGGATTTGCCATCGCGTGGTTGCTCTGCAACTGCATTAGCTGAAAATGACACGTGGCTCCATGGACCAAAGTTCCTTAAAGATCCTAAAGACCAATGGCCTAAATGTCCTCAACCTACCAATTTAGAAACCGATGTCGCTTTGTCAGAAACTGTCAAGACTCGTCCTACTGTTACGTACAGTCTTGTTAATTTAACGGACGATCTACTTTCGCATGCCAGAATTGGATTGGTAATGGAGTGTAACAAATATAGTAGTGTAACAAGATTGTTAAGAGTCACCGCGTTTGTTCTACGATTCATCAGGAAGTTGAAAGGGCAAGAAACGAGTGACAATTCTATACAGACCTTAAGTGCTAACGACATCAAGGAAGCCGAGATCCTTTGGGCCAGAGAAGTCCAAGCGGTATCATTCCCTGAAGTAACTCGCCTTTTAGGCTCAAAACAGCGGGTTAACAACCAACTTATTAATCAGTTAAACTTGTTTCGCGATAAGAACAATCTCATTCGTTGCGAGGGACGTCTGGAACATTCATGTTTGTCAGTTGATTCAAATAATCCCATTCTATTACCCTCCAGACACCATTTTACAGATCTAATTATCCGAGATCGACACTACCATGTTCATCACTGCGGGATTAACGATACGTTGAACTGCATTCGTAATACTTATTGGATTTTACGAGGACGAGAATCCGTAAAACGTGTATTGAAGAAATGTGTAACTTGCAAACGACACGAAGGAAAACCGTTTTCCACCCCTAAAGTTCCGCCATTGCCACCCAGCCGAGTGAGTGACGAACCGCCCTTCACAAACACTGGCCTCGATTTTGCTGGTCCTCTGTTAGTTAGAGACGGTGAGAAAACCGAGAAGTCATATATATGCCTGTACACTTGCGCTTCTACCAGAGCGATTCATTTAGAGTTGCTAAAGAATTTATCAACAGATACATTTTTGCAATCTTTCCGACGCTTTACTGCTCGACGAGGCCTACCAAAGAAACTAATTTCCGATAACGCAAAAACTTTCAAAGCTGCGGCCAAAGAAATCGAGAAAATTTCAAGATCACACGACGTTCAACGTTTCCTTACAAACAAAGGAGTTGTTTTGGATTTCATTACAGAAAGGGAGCGCCTAATCAAGACTACGAAACGTTGTTTAAAGAAATCAATGGGGAAAACTTTTCTTTCGTTCGAAGAAATGCGAACAATGTTGGTTGAAATAGAATCGACTTTGAACAACAGACCACTAACATACGTTTACGATGACAATGAAGGTGTTTCGCTTCCATTGACTCCGTCCTGTCTCATATACGGAAGAAGAATAGCGACAACTCCAAATGATTCACAGTTTGAGATCTCAAGTACGAATCAATCGCTCACACGTCGAGCGAAGCATCAAAATCGAGTGTTAAAGAACTTTACAACGCAATGGAAGAAAGACTATTTGTTAAGTTTACGAAAGTCGTCAAAGGCACAATCCAGAGCTGCTGAGATAATATCTGTTGGAGATATTGTAGTCCTGAAGAACGAAAGTACTGCGCGTATTTTCTGGAAACTGGCGAAGGTTGAGGAACTTATTACAAGCAAAGATAACATTGTGCGATCAGCGAAAGTCGGTGTTTTGAATGAAGCTAACAAGAAGATTCAGCTGCGAAGACCCATTCAACATTTGGTTCCGCTTGAAATAAGCCGGAAGAACATGACATAGATGACTCGATAGGTAGTTTAGTTTAGTTTTGTTCTGTTTTTGTGCACCGAGGGTGAACAACGCCGGGAGTGTAAATGACGTCAATTGTTATTGCGCAATTTCGCGCGCTTTGTGAACACGTGACACTAAGTTAGGAACGCTTTTTGAAGAGGTTCGACAATCGACAGAACGACAACAATGTTTGAATTTTATTTTGTATATTTTTATTTATATTAAAGCGTTTAAATTGTACGAGTATACGACATTATTTACAGTAGTCAAGTCGGATTGATGTCACACTGAGTGGATGCACACTCAGAGTAACATCACAAACATCATATTCACCTTAGTACATAACACCAGCACACACAAAATAAACAATTTGGTTGTTTGAAATTTTTATCTGTAAATTTTAATGACACGTGAGAGTGAGATATACTATTGCTCGTGTCAGGATTCGAGCAGAATTAAAAACAAAAAACTTAATGAGTGGATGATCGCAGAAATTATGCTACAGATACGCATCAGAGATCGATTCAAATCGCGAAGTAAATCGAATATTCTCGCCAGAGTAATGTATAAACGAGTACGAAATCATGTGGTCAAACTCATTAACAATGCTAAGTCTAACTACTTTAAACAACAAATTATGGAGAATAAAGACAATGTCAAAAACCTTTGGAAAGTTCTAAAGCGTGTTGTACCAATTACGCCGTTACAAAAACAACCACAGCAAATTGAAGTAGATGGTAGGTTTATATCAGATCCGGTAGAAATCTCAAATGCTTTTAACCAATATTTTACATCACTTCCACAATCTGTAAACCTGAATATAAGGGCAGATAACCCTTAGATGACTGCTCATTTTGATGATTTACTCCATGAATTTATAGTGACCAAACAATTCTCCATCTCTCTTTGAAATTCCACCGATCACGAAGGAAAGAGTCGAACTTGATATTAAAACCCTTCTAACAAAGCAACGGGCTTAGACGGAATCAGCATTCGCCTTTTAAAAGCAGCCTTACCAGCAATATCTTCAAGTTTGGTAAATATATATAATGCCAGTATCACAAGTGGGATTCTCCCTGATGAATTCAAAAGAGCTAAAGTTACCCCCCGTCATTAAAAAATCGACCCACGAAAGAGGCAATTTTCGGCCAATCTCTGTTTTATCTATGCTCTCGAAACCACTTGAACGACATGTTTCATTATCATTCTGCGAGCACTTGAGATCCCATGATCTGCTGTATTTAAACCAATCCGGGTTTAGATCAAATCACTCGTGCATGTGAAACTGCCCTTATTAACATAACTGACAAGTGGCTCAAAGCAATGGATGATGGTGAACTTATTGGGGCTGCCTTTGTGGATTTTAGTAAGGCGTTTGATTTAGTCAATCATGATGTACTTCTAAGGAAACTTGCTAAATACCATATTAGTTAACAGGCCTTGCAGTGGTTTACATCCTATTTAGATGGTCGCTCTCAACAATGTTCTGTATTAGGATCACTTTCCAGTCCTCTGATGTTGGAACGAGGAGTTCCACAAGGATCGATATTGGGACCCATACTCTTTTCCATATATATAAATGACCTGCCAATGTCACTTGGAGAAGCTAACGCGAATATTTATGCGGATGATACAACACTTTGGTTGAGTAGCAAGTCGTGTGATGAAATCCAGCAAACATTACAAAACGCATTGGACATTACAGAACAATGGCTCACAGTCAACAATATGGTATCAATACTACTAAAACAAAGAAATTATTGATTGGAACAGTGCAAAAACTTCGTCATTCTGACAAAGATGAATTAGATCTCTACCTGAATGGAACTAAGCTCGGTGAGATCAAAAACGAAAAGCTTTTGGGAATCAAACTTGATAAACATTTAAAATTGGCGAAACACATTGAGTATTTGATTAGAAAACTAAACTCTAGAATTTGTCTCCTGAAAAGGGCGAAAGAACATCTAACAATTCACTGTAGAAAGTTACTCTACAATGCGATTATAAAACCTATCCTAGAGTATTGCTGTACTGTTTGGGGCAATTGCTCCAAAGAACAACTCATCAGATTATTGAAAATCCAAAAACGATGTGCAAGACTGATACTCAATGCTAATTTCCGCGATAACTCTGTCAAACTATTTACAGAATTATAGGATGGCTGCCAATTTCCGACACTATAAACTGCCGAAAGCTCTATATGTTACATAAAATTAGTAACGTTTAGGGCATTGCCCAGATTATTTTTCGGAATACATACGTTATCTCACTTATCTGAAAGATTCGCATAATTACAATACTAGAGCATCAACCAACAGAAACGCTGTAATACCTACTTACACAAAGGTATTAGGATCGCGAATGTTGCAAACAAGCGCAATTCGCATCTGGAACACTGTTGAAGTCTCTCTCCGAGACATGCTTTCGCACAAACAATTTGTGAACAAATTAGAACAGAAGCGTCTACTAGAGAACGCTCAATTGCAACACTTTAGCATAGAGAATATATTTTTTCTAAATTGTATTTATATATATATATATATATATTGTAGATAGGAGGCCCATAGTGAAAAGTATTGGGAAACCAATAATGTATGTTAGCCTCGTTAAATAAAGTCATATTATTATGCCTCGAGCCAGGACTCGAGCCAGGACTCGAGCCAGAACTCGAGCCAGAACTCGAGCCAGAACTCGAGCCAGAACTCGAGCCAGAACTCGAGTCAGGACTCGATCAAAAAAATGCGAAAATACGGGGAATTGCCATTACCCAATGGTTTTGTTTCATAAGACACGTTAGGCTAGCTAAATGTTCTACTACTAGCAAATTACTACAACCTTTCAATAATTACGCTAATCACCTTGTGTAATTTACCAATGAGACACAGGGGGCAGAAAAGTACGATTGTGTTTCATAAATACCTTGTCATCAACCAATATCCCATATTTATATTACAACAATCCGCAGACATAGTCATAAAAGGATCAAAATTAGCTGATTTTTATTTTTTCGATAATATCATGCCTTCTACTTCATGCAATTCAAACATATTGCATTGGAACGACAATTTCCGAACATCTTACGAAAGGATGCCGAGGGTGTAACCCGTACATAAATAAGAAAGGGATGAAACGCCGAAAATCTTTCGTTCAATGTGCACCGCAACAACTGGTGACGGAAGTAAATTCGACATTGTAACCGGAAGTAGAACGGAAGTTGAAGGAAAATTGACCTATCATCTCTAGGTGATCTCGTGTTCGTATTTTAGCCAATCAGCGCTCAGAAAGGGTTGTCCGAATAGAAATCCATTTTGATGTATTCAGTCAATTATATCTTTCGTTATTCTTTATGAAACTAGTTGAAATTTTGTAGTTATGTTTGGTTATGAGAACTATAGCTCTGACAAAAATATGGAATCGAAATAAAGTATATTACAGGAGATATTCAGTTGTTTTAATCATAAAATGGATTTCTATTTGACAACTAGTGCCAGTACTTTTCCGCGTATCAAGATCACCTGGCTTCCATGACCTTTGAATCGAATTAACGGTTAATAATTTGAATGACAATAACAAATTTTAAAAAATATTGCGAAATTGAAACTCAAATTAGTCAAATATTAATATGGAACGTTTTGTCAACTAAAAGAAATGCGAATCACCCGATTCAAAAGCAACAAACGCTCTTGTATCTAGACGGTATAAAGCTTTTCAATAATTTTAAAACAATTGTTCTTGAATCGATCAACCGTACGTGAATATATCCACGACTTTGAACTTTGTTTAATATGATGACTGTATAAATCCAAACGGCAGTCTTTACAAAACCGGTCACGATTTAAACTCGTCTTCGCCGTGTGTGCAGACTTAAGATATATCAATAGACTATTTAAATTCAAAAATAAACTATACATGCACTTATGGGGCGAAAAAAATGGCAGTAAATTTAAATAAACTTTGAAACGGTTTCGTTAATTCGGTTAATATAGATCTTTTTGTAGTATAAATACCGGTGCATTTTGGCTTGTATTTTGTAGGCTTTGTACGAATTATCAAATAAGTGACAATTCTTTCAATAAGTGACAATTCAATTCAAGGTCTTCAAGGGGAATTCAATTCAGTGACAATTCAATGAGTGACAATTTATATGAGCATATTGTTATTTTGAAACTGTATACTATAAATAATAAAAATACTGTATGAGCTTGTCATATATTTAATATATATGATTAATAATATGAATCAGTTGGAAAAATAGTTTTCGTCATGCGCAATATCTTTTAAGTGCGTAACTACGTCACTTCCGTCACCACCTGTCGCGGTGCACGTTGAAACAAAATAAGCCAAAATTGTAGTCCCAAAAAATTCGGTTTAATAACCGTTTCTTAAAATTTCCTTGTACAGGTATGCTAAGTGTATCATATCTAAACTGTATACAAAAAATAAAAGGTTTTGGTTCAGAAACACGCCAGTTATATCCATTCGAAATATTTCACGATCGGGGGTTTCATCCCTTTCTATTATTTGTACGTGTAAGCAAAGTCAATCGTTCTAGTATGAGCCCACGCTACTATGGTCAGTCCTTGTAATACAATGTTTGAATTACATGAAGTAGTAGGCATGATATTATCGAAAATCAACATAATTTTCATCGTGATGAAACCTGGATGAAACTATGCGATATATATATTGGTTGATGACAAGGTATTTTAATTTTTAAATAAACACAATCGTACTTTTCTGCCCCCTGTGATGAGAGCGAGGTTCCAAGACCAAAAAGTATGTGTAATTATCGAAAGGGTGTATTTGGTAATACAGTTAGCCAGCGTGGCCGGCTCTTCTATAATACAGTTTGGTGATATTGGCGTCTAGTACAGGAAAATAAGACAGGGAGAATTATCCTACTCTTTGACGAATGCTAAGCGGCAATGAGCGGCAACAAGTATCTGTTTTGTAAAGAGCGAGAGACTGCTAGTGATGGGCAATACCAACTGTTTTAGTTCGATAAAATACTGGCCGGATATTTCCCTTTTTTGGATATCGATATTTGTGCAATATATCAAAGACAAACAACAACAAGGGTATTGACTATTGTTTCATTCACTGACTTCCGACGCTAATAACCGTTACAGTTAGTTGAGTTAGGGGCCGATTATACATGGAGCATTTTCATCCACGGGGTTGAACCAGCCCTGTTCACCGGGTTGAAATTTCAGCCCTATCTGTAATACAAAACTCTATCAAAATCAAACGCGCGATTACATGACAAAATTTTCAACCCAGAGCTGAGTTCAACCCCGGGGTTGAAATTTCAACCCTGTTCAGCTGCAGGTGATTCAACCCCGAGGTTGAACTCAGCCCTGGGTTGAAAATTTTGTCATGTAATCGTTTCAACCCAGGATTGAAACTATCATGAGTTATTCGAGCATGCTTGGTAGTGACTACTAATTACAAGAAAACAAAATTAAGGCTTTTTTACTCCCGCGAATCGATGCCGAGAACGTATTGTATAACGTTTTAACCCCGGTGTTGAAATTGTCCATGTAATCGCAAAAAATTCAACCCGGTTAACAGGGCTGAGTACAACCCCGGGGTTGAAAATGCTATATGTAATCGACCCCTTAATAGCCAAAGTCAGATGAGATTGACAGCTCTGTATGTACAAATATACCAAATATCAACTTTCGTTCTTTAGTTCTTTTATCGAATCTGGCGGAAAAAGGCGGGAAATTGATTTGGTAAATTAACAAGTTCTCTCACCACCCATTTGCCAAACATTCCTTAGGTTATCGATAAACAATTCCTCAGATTCAGTTAAATTTGCTTAAACATTTCGCATTGTTGGTGAACGAATAGTCTAAATTTAAGGAAAGTTCCTTAAAAGTGAGAATGCTGTTGGTAAATTTTCATCCATCAAAATCACTTGACGTCATTTTTAGCTCGAGTCCTGAATCGAGTCCTGGCTCGAGTCCTATAGCTCGAGTCCTGGCTCGAATCCTGACTCGATATTTAAGTACCCTCCACACAAGTTTGCAAGGGCAAAGCAAAAAATGTTTCTGTTTGTAGGTCCGTATAGGTCCTTTTTAAATTTTCAATATCTTAATATGTCTTCTAAAAAGACAAACTTAGTTTTATTGCCAATATACCCTTAAGTGTTGTAATTGCACTGTGTTCAAATTAAACAAATGCGATTGACAACGTTGAATTGACATTAAAAGATATATTATGCCAATTTGCTCTGATACTATTCTTATTCAGACATCAGCTTTCCACTTAATGGCCATTTTCTGTCTAATAAGATGAACAAGAACTTTGAATTATCATGTCTGTTTACCAACTGAGTAATGTAACTTATTGTTATATGGATATAATATCCTTTGCAAACGTTGTTTGGCTATTTAAAAAAGTATATTATATGCAATACACGCGATGTGTCTTACGAAATGTTTGAATCTGAGTGTTTTATTTTATTCAAACTTGGTTTATTCTATATTGTCAAAATATTCGGCTGCTTCATTCTAACGCAGATATACAGCGTGATAATTCCAAGACATATATATATATATATATATATATATATATATATATATATATATATATATATATATATATATATATATATATATATATATATATATATATATATATATATATATATATATATATATATATATATATATATATATATATATATATGAGCACTCTGCGGAGTTGTTAATGGATGTCTATTAGCGATAATGCAAAGCTCACTTCCCTTGTGGTCGTTTGAGCACTCTGGCTCCATTACGCTCTGCGCATGTCTGGATGCGTTGAGTCACCGTGTTGTACCACATGCCTTGGTGAGAGCAAGTTCGTGGGGTATAAATACGAGTGTCTCACGTATCTAGACGTGTACCAAGCTGCACTGACGAGGCGTTGAATGCCGAAACATGCATGTCTGCAGATTGTACTATATATATATATATATATATATATATATATATATATATATATATATATATATATATATATATATATATATATATATATATATATATATATATATATATATATATATATATATATATATCTTGTTTGTCGATGCTGACACGTATCTGAAGAGTGCTCAATGCAGGTACGATTTTGCAGAGCAAAACTATTATTAGTGTAGACTAAGACATGATATCTGAAGATAATTTAATAAAACCTAAAGCTATTTACGATAAAAGTTTTAATAAAACCTAAACCTATTACGATAAAAGTTTTTATCGTAAATAGGTTTAGGTTTTATTAAATTATCTTCAGATATCATGTTTTAGTCTACACTAATAATATATTATACATATATATATATATATATATATATATATATATATATATATATATATATATATATATATATATATATATATATATATATATATATATATGATTTCGATATATATAAATATCGAAATCATATATTATGCTCGTTCGGGGTACCACGTTCTTGAGCACTCTATAGTTCATTGTATAGACTTATGCGCGCCTCGTGCTTAGCGAGTGTTGCTGCTTTGTCGAATGTCAAACAAAGACATAAAAATATGAAATATATATATATATATATATATATATATATATATATATATATATATATATATATATATTCAGGTTAATTTAGCCTAAGCGATTTTTTCAGTCCTCCATGTTCTTAGCAAGTGCCCTAAAGAGAGGCCGTCACCCCCTTAAAACATTTTGAAATTTAATGCTCCAGGGGGTGAATGCCTCTCTTTAGGGCACTTGCTAAGAACATGGCGGACTGAAAAAAATTTGGTAAAATTAAAACTTCTGTATGTACTTACTCTGCGGCCATCAGCAGAATACCCTCCCACTTCCAGTGGAAGATTGTCGCCATGCAGGCGTGAATGAAACCAACAACACAATAATAAATATGAAATCAAACGTTTCCTCAAGCAGATAATATATTCCGCTCAGTTTGCTAATACTACAATACAGCTGCAACAATTATGATATATTAATGATTATGTCCATGTCCTATGATCAGCTTTCGATTTCAACTGTTCATATATCTCTATACTGGTGACGAAAAACAACAAAACAGAAATCAACTAGAAGTGAAAGGATAACGTAAATGATCTAAAGAACCTACGCACAGAATGTTTATTAGATTTTTGATCGTTTGAAGAGGGGGGCGTTTATTAGATAAGGAAAGTGTTTTAGATGGGAGCTTTTGTTCTTGCATACATTAGTTTCACGATTAATTTTGAGAATATTTCCTGGAAGTTTCCAGGGTGAAAAATGTAAAACTCTTCAACTTCTTAGCTGTTACACATTTACTACAAGAAATGTTTTTAAATAAAAAGTCTACCAATCACGAGCGTCTATTAGATAAGACATAGTTAATAGAGAAGGGTGGTTGCTCTATGATTCTTATGATTCTGAGTTTACTGGGGCGTCTGTTAATCTGTTAGAGGGCGAACGTTTGCTAGATCATTTACGTTAAGTCAATTGAACAAAGTTCAATGTTTGAAGTTTAGTGTCAGTCCGCTAGTGGGTAGTGTAAATGCATCTTAATGTGTACGTGGAACAATCTGCATCAATTATCTGATCCACAATATCTGTAACTACAACCAGGAGGAGGGCCTAGTTTGTAAACATAATACTGTCCACAATTCACAACCTCGATGCCGTTTGAGAAAAAACAACAATCACTGAACCAAGTGTAACACACACTCCTGGTCACCTTGCCATCAGCAACTGTAGGGTGAGCACCATACGTCCAACCTGGGAAATTAGCTCCACAACTCCTCGCAGGTACACACGATGATGCCATTTTAATCCCAGCTCCTCCTCCAAATCTGTACCATCCTGAAAGACCGTCGTCACAATTTGACTCTGATACTGAATATTTTTTATTTCTGCTGCTTTCATTCAGCCATGTATGTCCAAAGCATTCATTATGTTGGGGAGGAACTAAATAAATTTCAAGAAATGAAATGGATCATTATGAAGATAGATTTTTACTTATCCCAGCATTCCCTGCAAGGGAGACGACCCACCTTTCAAGTAATCCTTGGTGGATACCGTCTCTCCAGGGTCGTAGCGAAAGGCTGAGGTTGGGGGGGGATTGGGTGTCGCATTTGCTGACAACATTTCAGTGGCTAACAAATAAGTTTCGGAGTTTTTGTACTCTCTAATATAGTGCAAATTATCAATTAAAATATCAATATAAAAATTATTATTTTAGCATTTATAAAGCATGAATGTTTAATCAATCTGTATCCGAGATTTTGCAAGGAGAACCGAAAGCGAGCCGCATTTTATCAGACACAGGTTGGATGCGTCAAGTTTATCAACCATTTTGGCGATATGATTCCGTTTAGCGGAGAAAAGCAAACTTGTGAAAATTAATCAGGGCGAAATCTCCATGCGATTTACAGATATAGGACGATATAGGTTACATTTTTCTCAAGTTCTCTACATGGATATTTCATGATATTTAAATCTTAATATGAAAATGTTTTTCATATTTTAGCGACATTATGCATGTTTAGCTAACAAAATTGAAAGCGACTGCATGCTCCCCAGCTGAACAATTATGTGGTCAAGAAAATAAATTGTGTAATTAAACTTGAGCGGCAGCCAAGATGATCTTTCAAATTCCACATGCGCGAGTAGATTACTTTTGAAAAGAAGCTTCTCAAGCTTTAGTCTTTGACAGGAATTTTCATCGACTTTAATTTGCAATATTAAAAAAATGAAGATATTTAATTTAAAATATGCGTTGCACTTACCAGTTGTAGGAATACCAGATGTTGTAGTATAAATTTCTTTCTCAGTTGTAGCAGTATCGGGCGTTCTAGTCATTTCTTTCTTACTTTTCAACTATATATAAAGTACGGATGAATATATAATACATTAAAAACTCATTAATAATTCATGAGGAAAAGACAAAGGATATTAAATTATATGAAAAAAATTATGTTTATTTGATTTTAAATTTTCGGCTCTGACAACGTTTATTTAAACAAAAATACTTTGCCAATAAACTCATCAGATGGGGCGTTTAAGATTCTCGCAAACAGTTCTTTATCAGATATAAAACACTTGAGCTGCGTTTTGTGTTTTATATCTTATATGAGTTATAAAGCATGCGCTCCTGCTCGTGTTTTAAATAGTATGTGAAAGTGTCTGAGGCCGGTTCGACTAAAGAAGACCACTGCAGGTTCCCCTTTAAAGTAACCCTCAGGTTAGGTAATGGCACAAGCACCAACCTAATGGCCCGTTTACACGGGCAATTTTTGCTGCGATTTTAGGGCGATTTTCTTCTTCTGATGGATGTGAAGGAGTGGATGAGTTATAAATGTTCCAGGTTATGAAATTTCATAACAACGTCATTAAGTAATCTACTCCTTCATATCCTCCAAAAGGAGAAAATCGCAACTAAAATCGCAGCAAAAATCGCCTGTGTAAACGGGCCTTAATTAAGAAACCTCGCATTCCCATTTGGTAGAGGTTTCACTTTAATAACAAATGACGTTTGCTCCTAGTATCTGGAGCGAGTACTCGAGTCCAAAAATTTAACTGCCAAGATGGAAGAAATTAGCCTTTCTCACGATGACGAATATCCGCCATTTTTGGGTGGCATCTAATTCTCGTTAACCAATGCAGACAATTAAAACAATGTGAAAAGCGATTTTTCAAATTAAACTAACCATTTACAACGCAAATTTACCATCATTCGTCCAACAAATTTTGAAAAGTCACTGTTATGTGGACTTATCTCGCAGGCTCCGGCTCAAAACTGGCGGCGTGAGAAAGGCTCACAAATGATGTCCGAGCAGAGGGGAGGAGGGGGGTTTGGAAAATCAGGACAAACTCGGACATAGGGGGGGAGGTGGGGGGGGTTATCAATCCGGATGTCCGAAATTTAAAAAAATTCAAAAACAAATTTCTTTTTCCCTCTATTTTGAGCAGTCCTTCCCATTGTGAAATTGGCATTTTGACTATGTGGTTAACACTAGATTTTGTTTTAATTAGTAATTTATATGTTTTTGTGTTCACATTTACAGTTATAAAAAAGTTCTAAAAGTAAAAAAAGTTTTTTACTCTTGATATATACAAGGTTGCGTGAGTTTTTGCAAGGCATGGCAGATGTCCGGGGGAGGGGGGGAGGGGTCACTAATTCGGACAAAGCCGGACAAGGGGGGGAGGGGGGTCTGAAAATCCATTATTTGGCCGGACATCCTTTGTGAATGGCCCCTAATTGAAGAGTCATTGGACGTCAGTTCCAGTCCCTTTCTATTGTTTTTGTCTGCGCGGTTGAACACGAAGCTGGCATGAAGTGTGCCGAAATTTTGTATTTTGACATCGATTTAAAGAATAACACTATGGTTTTATGAACTGATAACTTGGTTAGCGATACGGTCCGTTAGAAAAAACTGGAATTAGCTGTTTACAACCTTAAGCTTCATAGCTATTGGACGTCAATTTCAGCCATCTTGGCTTCACGTTTCTCATTGGCCGAATGACTGTTTTTGCTCCAGAAATATGAAGTTTTTGCTCCAGAAATATATATAGAGCTCACTGAGTGAAATGCATCACAAATGCGCAAGGGACTGGGACAGATATCAAATAGCATCTAAAATGAACACAGTAAACTGGCTTTCTTCCAAGCAGATGTCTCACTTTTCATGTTCGTTGTCATTCATTTTCATATGTATTAGAATATCATAATGCGCATGCTCTATTGCTGTGTAATCGTTCGCACCGTAATCTATACAACACATTACGTGGGATATAAACAACATGCAAAAATGTTGAGGCATGGACTGGTTGGTGCCAGTGTAGGTAGTGAAGATAATATTAACAGAATTTTTATTTTGGTCTGACAATATTGTCGGACTTATTTAATTTAAAAGAAGTAGTCCAATTTATGTTTGAGACATGATCAAACGCGGACTCTTCCACAGTCCCTAACATTGCTTGTTTGTGCAATGATTCATGGGAATGCGATGAAAATTAAGTAGAAAGCAAATGACCATGGGAATGCCCCAAGGCGTTTTGTTAGGCAGAAAAAAAGCAAAGAAGTGCGCACGTTGTTTTGGGGAATATCACGCATGCGACATGCGAACTTCTTTGTTGCGAAAAGTTGCGATGAGCTATTTGCCGCACACTAGGAATTTATGTCACGAATGACAGAAAGTACGAAACATATTTTGATATTTGTTATTCATGGCACGAGTAACAAAAATCTTCAATATTTTCCTCGCACACTAAGACTTTTGTCGCACGTAATTTCGACTTGCCCCAAGTCTCGCTCGAATGGGTTTTGACAGGGTCTATCCAGTTTATTATGAGATCAGTTTTGAACTCTCCGCTTCAAGTTGAGTGTATCTAAAAGTCGAGGGTCGAGAGTCGAGAGTATAGGTCGAGAGTCGAGCGTAAAAGTCGAGAGTCGAGAGTAAAAGTCGAGAGTCGAGAGTAAAAGTCGAGAGTAAAAGGTCGAAAGTAAAAAGTCGAGAGTCGGCAAATGTCATCAAAAACAACAAAGTCAAAATATTTTTAATCACGTTTAACACAATCTATATATAGCTTTACATAACCATTACCAACGGCTGAAATACAAACTTTCCAATAAATATTGCTACAACAGTCAATAATAATAACGTGAACAAAAACGATTGGATAAGAAAATAATATCGCATTTGATGCCTCAATCTTGCTAAATGTTTTCACTCATGTCATTTCATTCTAACTGACACATAAACTCCGCTGAATTTTGACAACCATCTCCAGGCTTGTAACTAAAATGTTACTTATTCATTAACGTACGTTTATATCAAACGAGAGTGTATTAAGAAATCCACGTTGAGCACAATCTAACGATTCATACAATTGTGAATTCATAAATACGAGCCAGTAAAAATTAATAGGATTCTTTTGTCGTATGCGTGACTCTATCGGGTGGTAATATGTCTTGCACGTGATTGAAAGTCCTAGTATTTATATGTAGCTTCACATGATATGAGTAATTTTTATAGGTGCATGTAAAAGCGGGAAGGATGGACAGTAATATATAAGGAAGCGATAAAGCTAGTTATTAGATAATAGTTATTAATATTATACCTCACAATGAGCTTGTCCAATCAGAGAACTAAATTTGTACCACATGACCATGGTATTTTTCAGCGAATACTATGACCTAGGCAATTTGAACCCTGGGTGTTTTACCCGGGGCCATGGTATTCGACTTCGAATACCACGCTTGAGCGGGAAATTCGACTTTTTTAAATGTAAAGTTATCAAAAGTTGTGTTTTGAAATTAAAAGTTAATTGAATGGTATTTGTTTTCTACTTATTTTTGAAAGGTTCGGTATAATATACCATTTATAGACCTTTCACTCGGGGTATTCCACAAAAAATTACCCTGCGGGATGAAATATTCCTCGGGCTTCGCCCTCGGAATATTTCATCCCTCAGGGTAATTTTTTGTGGAATACCCCTCGTTTCAGGTCTATAACTGATAATTATTGAATGTTGTGGCTAAATTTTTGCGAAAGTTTTTGTTTTATATTACACTGGATTTTCCTTTGATTGTATATGCCTCTTGTTTTAATTACTTTAATTTCGAGAATTTGAGGATACTAAATTATGTTTCGCAAATATTGTTTGCTTTATGTTCCGCAGATAAACACAGGAAATGAAATTAGTTCAGCCGTCATAGGCGTACGGGCGGGAAAAAATCAGGGAGCCAGAAAGAAATTTACCCGACTTTTACCCACTGAATAAAATTTTCCGTGTAACTAAATTTCCAAAATTGTCGTTGGGAAGTAGACAAAAATATTTTCCTATTTGTCGATTCCTTGTTACTTTTACATATTTCTGGTATTTTCAAATACCATATTGCATGTACTGTCTTCTTTTTAAATTTATTTCCCCATGGCCAATTTGCCCGAATTTATACGTTTATAATTGGCATTACTTTATTTTGACTGGGGGCGGGACTGCCTCCCCCCCCCCCCCCCTCGCCCGTACGGCAAAAATCAGCCGTTGTTACGGATCGGTTATATATTGTGTTAAAAATCGACTCTCGACTTTTTACTCTCGATCGACTCTCGACTTTTTACTCTCAACTCTTGACTTTTTACTTTCGACTCTCGACCTTTTACTCTCGACTCTCGACTTTTTACTCTCGACTCTCGACTTTTTACTCTCGACTTTTTACTCTCGACTCTCGATTTTTACTCTCGACTCTCGACTTTTACTCTTGACTTTTACTCTCGACTCTCGACTTTTAGATACACTCCTTCAAGTTAAAAACTGATCTTACAATAAACTGGACAGAAGTTCAAAACTGATCTCATAGTAAACCAGATAGACCCTATCAAAACCATTCGAGCGAGACTTGGGGCAAGTCTACACGCAATGGACCTTTAACCTTATAACTAAAATTTTGATCTAGACAAAAATTTCATCACAGCTGGAACGAGCATCACAAAATTAGTAATATTCCAAAGTTTCGTTACGAAATGTTGTAAAATGCGGATAATATAGCCCTGCGAAGTTTGCAATTTTCAGTCATTTTAGATTTATACAAACGGGAAATTGATACCCAAATCAGGTGTTTGGGTATCAATTTCCCGTTTGTAATCTAAAATGACTGAAAATTGCAAACATTACTAGTTGTGATGCTCTTTCAAGCTGTGATGAAATTTTTGTCTAGACTTGTCTAGATCAAAATTTTAGTTATAAGGTTAAAGGTGAATTGGTCACGAATGACAAGTGTGCGTACTGCGTGCAACTTGCACTGGTGAACGCCGGGCGTTAAGTCTAAAATGAACATATGAATATCATAATGCGCATGC